ATCTTGACCACCAATCCAGAATTGAAAAAAATAAGGGAAATTCCCTGGTATGTCAAATTATATGTGCAACATCTGTTGCTGACCGTGTAATTCATACCAAACTGCACACGAAGCATCTATTGCAGAAGCCTCCGTCTTCTTACAGACCCCTCAGATAACTTTTCATCCCTCATAGCCATAAACAATGTCTCTTGATTAAGTGTATGTGTGGCAACATGTGTTTGCAAGATGGATTCATTAATCATAGTGGAAAATACTTGGCATCTTGTAGCGGTTTTGACCGTGCAGCAGTTGCAGTTTTAGAGCATTTGGACCCCACGAGCACAATGTGAAATGTTAATAACATCAGTGCGGGTCTATTTTAAACATGGCTCTGAAATAAATTCTATTATGGAAGCTGTGGAAACTGTCACAATGAGTATATTTCCTCATTTAAAGTAATAAAGAATGCTTAAGCGGGCCCCAGAGCTGCTTTCCGTGTTCTGCAGCGTTGATGGTGCATGTCTGCGGTGTGGAAGCCCAGCTCGGCAGGGTGCGGGGTCGGCAGGTTTTGAAGCCTGTCCTAAAATCTGCTGGTGAACCTGATGCTGTGGGAGAAGCGCTTGCCGGACAAGACGTTTCTTCCCTGGGTCACTTTGTACTTCGTTTAATATGTTGCTTCTAGATGCTCGCTATGCAGCGGTGTGCATCGTCTCCCAGAATTAAGGCTGTTACCCCAGATTTCACTTGTGTTGCTTGTTTTATCTTTTGCTCGAGAGAGGTGTGAAAGGGGGATTTCAGTCTCCAGTAAATAGCAACGTGGAAAACAGTTATGTGATTCTGACTTTAACTTACTTGAAGTGCTACATTTCAGGCTTCATAAAATTGTTTTATCCTTCTCATAAGAAAGTGTATGTAATTAGTAATTATAGTAGTTACTAATGGGAGTCGTACATTAGGTGTCATGACCTAACATACATATTAGCCTGTTTTAACGAGTCAGACTAGCAAAGAAAAGACAGTTTAATGTTAAAACTTTTCAGGAAACTCTTCATTGTGGTCTTCTCTAGCAAATAAGTATTCAGATCTTGTGGTTGCTTTTAGTGAAGTTGATTTATGCTCAGGTATTAAATACAAATTCACAATGTGTGTCAGTGAACATATATCAGTGTTACCATACCTTGTCTGAGCAAAGGTTTCTGACAGATGGATTGATTTTATCTGACTATTCTTATTACATTATCTATCCAAAATCACAACTAAATGTTTTTTTTCTATGTTTGGACAAAAAAGAAAGTAAAAATAAATTTTAGATTAATAAAAAAAATCTATGCTAAAAAGCTATTAATCTTAAAGTTTAAACCCTTTAAGCTTAAATTCAGAAAGATGTTGAAATTAAGAAACAGTCAAAATGCAAAAGCAAAGGACTGTAATTTGTTTCAGCATTTTGACATTTAAAAATTACATATTCTAAGAACATTATTATAGAAATTTGGTGCAAATTTGTAAGCCGTTCAATCAATGGACAATTATTTATGCCCTGAAAAAAATAATTGAACTTCATGTAGTTATCATCATATTAATTATTTTTATATAGCTAATGTGCAGTGCTTGTTTTGTTATTAAATTGTTGCACAAGAAGTTAACTGCAGTAGTAACTTTGAAATCTACCATGCTAATGGTATTAAACTTGAATTTACCAGTTGCACGTTTTTCCTATCTATATGGTCACATTTGTTCTGTAGGAGGAAATCCAGGCATAAAACTAATACAAAGTACTGCTTTGATGGTTTCCTAGTTTTTTTCAGTGGTTTCAAATAAGGATGCTGATGCTATGCTGACATGTTTTTTCAAAGAAGTTATGTTATGTAATCATAACTATGAACACAATTATGAACATATCATAGCTGATAAATAGTACAAAACCAACTCTCGTGATTTTATTTCTGATGTTCATGTTTACTAGGAGGACATATTACATGGTCTGAATTTTTCAGTGCTTTACCAAGAAAGTCAAGTGCCACTTTTTGATTTTCCAGGGCTTAGTTATTGAACGGCTCGGACGCCGGCCTCTTCTCATCGGAGGTTTTGGGCTGATGATTATCTTCTTTGCCGCACTTACTGTCTCTCTGACTTTACAGGTAACACTACGGTCACTACAGATTTAAATAAGCCAATCCTTTTAATCAGTTTGACATAAAGATTCAAATGTCTGTCTTTTGCTTAGCCATAGCAGCTTTACATTAAAAAGCCATAGGGGCTTTGTCAAGTTCTGTTTCTTTAACTCAAAGATTCATGCACGTCAGGAGCTGTTATGAAGACAGTTTTACCCATAGTTGGGTAAATAGTTCACCCATATTCCATGTTACTATCTTTGTTTGTAATGCAGTTTTTGTGAGATTTCTTTCATCTTTTGCAAGTCATCCTTATTCTCAGTTTTGGATTGTTTTTTCCAGTAGTGAAAAAATTCCATGTTTTATGTTTCTTTCAAGTTACATTTCTGATATTTTTATTGAAAATATAAAGACTTAGTCTTTGCAGAACATCTGCACTTAAGTTCTCAGATCTTATTAGCAGTCAGTTCCCCAGCTATTTCAAATGGTCAGAGGATCATTAAACCATTCTAAATACTGACCCTAAGTAATTTTTCCTTCTTTAGCTTCCATTTTCATAATGATGCAATTTCTTTCTGTTCCTGAGAGCTTTTAAGAAGTAAAGCTGGCAGTCTGCAATGGCATGGTTTGGGGTGGACTTTCATCAAGCTGGTTTTTTGCTGTCATTGATTCCTGTGTCTTGCCATTAATCTGACTTTCAAATCTTTTTTCTTGGTTGAAAAGGGTCAGTAATTCAGTTTACCTAGCAGGTGTATGCAACACTATTGTGAAGTTTCATATGACTTAGCTGTATGTACAACACGATAAAGTTTTACTTCACATACCCATCATGACAACTGTGAGACAGCTCTCCAAAAGAGAGATGTTACTGCACCTTTTGTATGCTGACTGAAAAATTCTCGTCCAAATCTTGCAAAACCTAGTTTGATGAGTAAGGACCTTCAGCTGCTGGAAATCTGTGAAGTTGGAGTGCCTTTCAGCTGTACATCCTTTCAGAAGTGTCTGAATCTGTTAAATATTAGAGATTAGGTGTTGCTTTGGACAAAGTACCAGGGCACAAATAGGCTTGATCTCAGAGGAATTTGTATCTACTCCGTGTTTGCACCTTCCCTCTCTCGATGCCTTTAGAGACCTTGGATCTGTGTTCAGACGAGAACTCCAAAATGTGTAATTTTGATGCCTAGGAGACCATGTTTTCCACATAACTAAAGGACCAACCCAGACTGAAAGAGAAAAAAACATTGGAAAATGTTGGTCTTTATTTAACACTGAAATAAATACTTACCTATTTTAGCAAGTATATTTTTACAGTGCCACTCAAGGTGATAGTTTCGATACTACAGTTACACGTATCTTAATCAACTTTTCAGAAATAGTAAAATTCTAATTACAATGGCATTCATACTTTGCTGATGGGAAAAAAAACACTGATGAAGAAAGAACAGAATGGCAAACCATGGGTTTTTCCCATCTATTAGTATTATTTCCAAGAATTCACACACATGGTTAAGAAACAGTGTCCTGAAAACTCAGTAGAAATTGCTCATTGTATTTCAAGTTCCTATCATTTCAAGGTCTGAATAAAGAAAAATCTGCTTAGAAGTAGAAAAAGGATTGCTTTGTGAGGAAAATAGGTGATTCCATTAACAATTTATTTAAAGAACAATTTATAGTCTGTTTTGTTTTCCACTGTACCTTTTGTTTGTATACATGGCCCTCCTTGTCTGCAAAATCAGATTGTGGCTAAAAAAACCTGGACTGTGGCTTTCACATGCTTTGCTAAGGTTCAGATACAGTTGTCCTACCGAAAAGCAGCCTGTCGTGTCTAGATTTCAGCTCAGCCTTTAACTGGTGAACTTTGAAGCTCTATGAGCCATCATAGTTGCTCTTTTTAAACATCACTGAAATACCTGAGCAGCATAGAGGCACCGAATCTGTTTAATGGAAAGAAAAACTCTTTTCCAGGTTGACTTGAAATTCAGCGCAAGAAGTTGTAAACTTTCAGAGTTGTGACTTCTGTGGTGCAAGAGGTTGTCTAGTGTTTCTTTACAGGGATTCCACAGAGACCAAGACCTTTAAAAGAAATCATCTAATAAGGTTCTACAGAAATACTGTGATTTTCTAAAGTAATCCTAGACTGATTCTGAAATAGATAAAGAATCATGGAAAACACTATCTATTATTTGTGATTTTTTTTTAAATATTGGTGATACCTACAATATACTGAACGTGAATGTCTTTTATCTACCCAGAAAACTGTGCATTGGCTTCCTTACTTCAGTATATTTTGCATCCTTGCAATCATTGCATCGTTCTGCACTGGACCAGGTATGTCTATATTTTTTCATGTGTCTTTGTACATCAAAGCACAGATATTTTTGCACTGGCACTGTGTTAACAAATTGCTTGTAGGGAGCTTCACTTTACCCATATCTGAAAACCACAAGGGGTCTAAGACAATAAAAGGTGATAACAATACAAACTGATAGCAACATTCTTGATTAAAACCTGTGTACACATGCATTCCCACTTAGCTGTCAGCATAATTGAGAACTAGTGTCTAAATTGCAATCAGTACCAAATTAAAATGTTGGCTGTTATTGTAGGATCGCTACAATTTTGTAAATCTATGAAAAACACTCAGACTGGAAGCTAAATGTTTATTTATTTATCACCGCTTGTGTTAACAGTTCAATGCCAGTAGAATGCAAATGGGTCACTGGTGGAGGAAGTGGACAGTTGTGTGTGGTTCCTTTTCTCTTCCTTTCCAAAGATATAGAAGTGCTGTGCAAGAGGGTTTGTGCTTACTTGTGATAGGAATATAGTGGTGATGCCATGAAAAGCTGGAGTTGAAGACTCAATAGTCAGAGGGATATTAAGCAGGTATTCTTTATTGTGGTGCCGGGCACACGGGGGATCTCTCCTCCAAATGTGCGTGCCAAATACCCTCTCATTTCAGGTTAAATACAATCACAGTATACATATTCATTATATTTCTGAGAAATGCTTAGCATATTAATTAATTTTTCCAAGAACTGATTAGCATATGTTAATGTCTTTCACACATGTCTGTTAGCATCCTCGAGTGGTCTTTGGGGCTCTAAGATGAAGGCTTATACTCCTCATCACAGTGTCCGCTGGTTGACCTTTGTTTCTGCGCAAACTCAGTTCTAAGATCAGTTTACCGTATCCTTCCAGGTTGTTGCTGTGGTCTCATTGCCCTCTTGGTCCCTCTTTATCTCTGTAGCTTGGTGCATCTGCCCTCCCAAGGCTGAGCTGTCTGGGGTAGAATTATTTAGGAGCCTCTCTATCTTAGAGCTTTCCTGTGTTCTCAAAATAGCAAGTCCAGTTTGTCTAAGTAGTATTATTGAGGAGCATCTTTATCTTAAAGCTTTCCTGTCTTCTCAAAACAGCAAGGATCTACTTTAGTTTAATTACAGTCACTCTGTTAAGTGAAAATTTTACATTTACGAGTATCAGATGAAAAGGTAAATGACCTGATGGCAGAGCTGCTTCTTGTCTGGCAGTTCTCTACTGATCGCATGCATTTCAAATCTGATGTCCTCAGGTAACTGTTTTTGAGTTTATCAGAGCTATTTCCCTAGCCTGGTTTTGATTATTTAGAGATGGATACAGCTTTATAAGCAATCCAGTATTCACAAGCTGTAATTTTTGTATTTAATTTTCTTGACCAAAGAACAAATTTAAGGTATAAAAATGTAATAGAGCAAGTCCTTTCTTTGAAGTGTAGAATGAAACGAGCAGAGCAAGAGTTAGGTCTCAGCAAGGGCAATTCTGACTGGATAGAAGAGAAAAAATTTTACACTAAGAGTGGTTAAGCACTGGAAGATGTTGATCAAAGAGGCCATGAAATCTCCATTCTTGGAGCTATTCAAAACTCAGCTGGACGAGTTCACAAGCAACTGGCCCTGCTTTGACCAGAGGCTGAACTGCAGAAGTCCTTTCCAACCTGGGATTCTAATTGCATCAAATCTTTGGAAAAAACACATTTTAATAGATATGCATAATGTGCAGATACTTGCCTGAGTGCAGTATTTCTCTAAACAGTGTTGCTATAGCCTTCAGATACTTGATCAGAATCGGATCCTACAGTTATCAAATAATGAAATGTTAACAAAAATTATTTGCAGATAGATAAAGAGGAGTTTAATCCAAATTCAATTCACATTCAGAATAACATGTCAAAACAGCACTTAAATTTTCAGAGATTCTCTCACAAACTTCTTCACAAAAAAGCGAAAAATCAGCTGCTTTTTTAGGAGTTTTTTCACAGGTGTTCAGCTGTGAACCTAAAAGTAAGACTTCTGTTCCCCTGAGTTCTCAGGTTTTTCATGCACCATTTATTGCCTATTTTTTTCTTTCTAAAGAGTTTGACATTAATCAACTGTTTATACATCTTCACCACTGAAGTGAACTAATTAATTGACGGTGGTTTATCTGGGGAAAGAAAGAGTTGCTGATGTCTTGTGTGACTAGTGAAACATTGCTGTAATTCTGTTAATCCTCTTTTGGAAAAGCTCAGAAAAATTATGCTGCTTTGGAGAAGAATGAGAAGAAGATCAGAATATTCCTTTTCCCCTTGCTTCTGGGAAAACAGTTTGTCACTAATCTCTGTGCTTATTCCTTTGGTAGCTGACTGAAAGACAGGAGGAGTCAAACAGACTTGACTAGGGTCATGTCCTGGGTTTGGCCAGAACAGGGTTAATTTTCACCGGACTCCAGGAAGGGGCACAGCCGGGGGGTGGGGGCTGACCCCACC